CTCTTCATTTACTGGCCAGATCTTCATGTATCTCCTTTTGAGGATATTACAGACACAGTCTAGCAGATGACTCTCCCTCTACTGCCAGGGGCCAAGGAAACATAAAGAGGCTACAGAGAATGAATTTCCATTAGAGGCCCTTCCCAGAAGCATTAGAGGGGGTCATTGAAGAAGGCTGGTAACCTTTTTACTCTTGCCTGTCAAGTGTATTTGTGATCTGGTCTGACAACCACTAAGTGTGACCCCTAAGAAGCTCCTCAGCCTTCATAGCTACAATGCGCTATGCTTGGACAAGGGTGTGGATTCATAGAAGCTTACCCGAGGCCTCGTAGAGTGATGGCATTTGAAGCAGCCTGACCAGCTGCACATGAACCTGTAAAGAATTGGAATCATGTTAAGTGCTGACGTGGAATGACTTGGTATGGCTTTTCTATCCATGTCTGTGGAACTCCCACCAAATGGCTAAGTGCCACCATACAAAGACATGCGTGGCAATGTAAGAGAAGGAATAAGTAGACTGTCATTCTGCTAGATAGAGAGGTGAGCTATCTCAGAGCTGGGAGAGAGAGAGAATCTATGACCAACAAGAAATAAGAGCCACCAGCGGAGCGGATGTAACCTCCGTCCCTGAAGCCGTCTCTTCAGAGATACCAGAGGCTGCAGGACTGAGATCATGAGAAAGAGCAGAGGAGCCGCACCAAGACCTAAGGCCGTGTGGATGACTTCCTGGCCCATGGAGCAAGGAAGAGGCCACAGAGCTATGTAGTTGAGAGAGCGAGAACCAGAGAGAGACATGCCCGGCAGTATTGCTGAGAAGAGGTGTTTGGGACAAAAGACCATTTTATAACCTGTAAGGCCATCATCATGAGTATTATCTATGAGTTGTGTGTAGCCATTGCAACAAACTGTCAAACTCAGCAGAGGAGTGCTGTGGGGAGGATAGTTGATATCAGAATAGGGTAAAGAAGGTCTGCCATCTGCCTTATGGTAATTGACCTTGAGCTGGTGTGGAGTTGGAGTCCCCTCCTCCTTTGTGTGGCCGCAGGAGGTCAAGCAAGTCAATGGATTTTCAAAGGGTTGTTTTTTTTGTTTTTGTTGTTTAAGGATTTGACCTTATTAATATGCTTGATATTTTGGAATTATTATTTTCTCTCCAATAGGATCATGTGAGGACATTTTCCCATTGAAATTTTTAATCAGAAAATAGGTACTTGGACATCATCTTACTTTCGGGATAATTGCTTCCTTGGCTGCCCTTTTTATGGGATGCCTAACTTTCAAGGTCTGCCTGCTTCGTGTAGCTTGTGGAAGAAGATGTTGAGTCTGGGGCTTAGAACACAGCTGCAGCGACAGGAAAGGTAGTGTTCTTTAAGGCGGTCTGTCTAGTGACTTACCCTGTGGTGAGTTTAGAAAACATCAAGGCCAGTCCTTCTGGGCAGGCTGTCCCTCGCTCCCAGCACCCCCTGCTGTCCTTCTGAGAGCCCATGGGTCTTGGGTTTGCACAGTGGCTAGGGTGAAGACAGCCAGCTGCTGCTACAAGACTGAAGGCTGTATTCCAGTGCATTCGGTGTTTATTTTGCTCAAGAAGCAATTCAAAGACTGACCCCTCCACAGAAACCACAGAAATGGAACAAGAAACGCAGCAGGGTGGGAGTCAGTACCAGGGCGAATGAAGTACTTGAGCACTCCAGTGAGCTGGGGGTCCTCGTTGACATTGAGGAGGTGAGGAAAGGTCTTCATCATGTGCTGCTCCTGCAGAAAAACCAAGAGGCCTAGCACACTGAAGAGAATAATGCTCTTCCTTTCTACCCATGTCTCTTACCCAGCTCTTCCACTACTAGAGTGATTCAGAAGAGGAATGCTGTGGGGCCGGGGTCACCCTGTGTTCAAGGGTGAGAACCTGCTAGCAGGTT